TTTATGAAAACGATGCTCAAAAACATTAATTTCAACAAGTTCTTCCTCTATTGCTGATGACTAACCAACTTCTTCAGCATCTCATAGACAAACTGTCTAAGGCAAATATAGCATCATCTTTCCCAGAAGCTGCAGTTCCCCAAGACAATCTCATGCCATTCATATCACCTCACTTCTCTCAGAATCAAAATTGAGCTGTCATCTCTGGCCATACTTCCTCCAACCCCATATCTGATATCTTTACTATGTTAACTACTACAGGTTGAATATTAACTTCATTTTTGTTAAGTTATTTTAATACCATAAGGCTATGAAACTCTGACTTGGCATTACAAGCATTCTCTTTTGAAATATTGAGGGCATACAAATGCTGCTTTATTGACACTTTTCAAAACCAGGACCTATGCTCATTAACTTTTGTGTAAATTCCAGAGTAGGGCTTTCATTATATAAAAGAATATTAAAATGAACTGGGGCTGTATGAAAAATCATAGACCTTGAATAGAGGCCAAAGGCCTGAGTTTTATTTGTTTTTTCACTCTGAGTTAATATTTTCTGCTAAGAATTAAAGCCACCTCCATGTTCTTTTTTGTTTTTTGTTTTTTGTCTTTTTCCTTTTTAATCAGTACCAGGGATCAAATTCAGGACTGCCTGCTTGCAAGGCAGGCGCTTAGGCCGCTGAGCTAAATCCCCAGCCCAACCTCCATGTTCTTGATCATATCATGCATATCTCTGCAAAGTCTACGTTGTGCTTTGTATTTTGGTGCCTCCTCAAATCCTCATGAAGTCATGGAGGTGACTGATTCCAGCTTTTGTGATGGTTTCATTGTCTAGCACTGGGATTGGCAGTGTGAGTGCTGCACACTCCTGGGGGTGCAGCGTGCATACGGCATAAAGGAGGGACCCAGGCGGGCTTTTCCCTTTTGCCCTTTCACTCTTGTGGCTTGTGGCCATCATGAACAGTTGCCCCTTAGCCACACCACCCCGCCTGGGAGTCAGCTGACGTTGGACTGAAATCTCCAAAACTGTAAGATAAATAAACCTTTCCTTTGTTCAATTTGAGCACTAAGTATTTTGTCTCAGCAATGATAGAAAAGTAACCAAGACAGAATTTGCTACCAGACCAGGAGTCATTGGTCTGCCTATACCTGAACATGTGGTTCAAAAGCCTTTGGGAACGGCTTTTGGGAAGAGTTTGGAAAGCTTCAGAGATGTTGTCTGAAAGCATAGAGCTGAAACTCTTCAGGCTGTTCTGCATAGGAGATTCTGATCAGTGCTCAGAAGACCAGGAGGGTGATAGAAATCTGGGAGGTTTTTGTTGAGAAGAACTGCATTTATTATTGGATTCCACACAATGTGCATTATGGCTTGGCAGAAAGTTTGTCTGCATTTTGCTCATATCCAGAGACTATGCCTGAGATTTACATTAAGGGCAGTGAACTAACTGATCTGGCAGAAAAAGTTTCAAGGCAGTCAAATGTTGAGATGGTGGCATGACTATTGTTGGGGGATTTTAGTCAGATTTATGTCAAGAGCAAAGATCCCAGCAGAATGATTTAAAAAGTTATGAGTTTGGCCAGAAAGAAAGTTCCAGTAAAGCTGTGGACTATAAAGATAGAGATGTGTTATAAATTTCCAAGAAGGGAAAAAAGAATAGAAAAGATGGCCTGGGAGCATCACAGGAAGCAACAGATCTCCACACTGCAACTGCAAAAGTGAAAGATTTTGGTTCAAGATGAAAGCCACAGAGCATTCCAGTATGACAGTGGCAGCCACACGAGGTACCAGAATGGTGGCAGCCACATGGGATTCCAAAATGGCAATGGCATAGAGAATCTGTTCCTCACAATCAGGTGCAGAGTGCTCAGTGATCCGGGCACTTGACCCCTACAGCCAAGAAAGAGAAAAGACTGGCAACTGCTCCAACTGGCAGCAGACCTCAGCATCACCAACATGGCACTGGTCTTAGGTGCACAGAAAATACAAGAGTTCTGAAGTTAAAAAGGTTTCCACCCGAATTTCAGAAAACCTAGGAAACTGGGCAGTGTGCCCCTGAGAGGGCAGACTGTGAAGCTGTGAGAGTGAAGCCAAAGGTGCAATGGAGAACCCAGAAGTTTGGAAACGCCTGGGGCAAGGATTGTCTAAGGAATCCTGCGAGGAGGAAGCAAAACTAGCTGAAGAGAGAACTCATGGGACCTGTAATCACCAGAAGTGCTGGGGGTTTGTGTGTGTGTAGTCACTTAAGCCTTTTGGAGTTCACAAGCAGATTGCTTCAGATGCTGAACATGGACCTCCAGAACTTAATGTTTGCCCTGCTGGATTTTGGACTTCCTTTGGTACCATTCCTTTGTACCACCCTGTTTGTACCCTTTGGAATGTTAGTGTTTATCTTGTGTCACTGAACATTGGAAGTGTTTAACTTTGTTTTCATTTGTACCAAAGGTTATAGCTGAGTTTGCCTTAATTTTGGAGGAGACATGGGGCTAGGACTTTTCAGTAATGATGAAACTGTTAGGACTCTGGAAACTCTTGGAGATAAACTAAATGTCTTTGGCATAAAGGATGTGTGAGTCTTTGAGGGGCCAGAAGTGGAATGTCATGTTTGTGTCTTGGTGTCCCCTCAAAGCCTCAGGCAGTCATGTATGTGATTCATTCTAGCATTTGTGATTGCTTCATTTTCTAGTGCTGGGATTGGCTGTGTGACTGCTACACCCACTCAGGGGTGGAGTTGGCATAAAATATAAGGGAGGGAATAAAGCATGTTTCCTCCTCTTTTGTACTTTGGCTCTGGTTGCTTGAGGCCACCATGAAAAGTTGCCCCTCAGCCACGCTACCCTGCCTTGGAGCCAGCTGAGTATGAACTGAAAGCTCCAGAACCTGTAATAAATAAATCTTTCCTTCCTTCATATTGGCCATCAGGTATTTTGTCTCAAAAATGAGAAAAAAGTATCAAGATGCAGTTGTTGATTCTTTCAAGTGTTTCCCAAGCACTTTGGGCTCTTCATGAACTGCCTGCCTACACCTATAGCGTCAAGATTTCTATCAACTTTCTCTTCTAGTGGATTTATTATTTCTCTTTTAATATTTAGATCTTTGATCCCTTTTGACTTTAGTTTACTGCATAGTGTTACACATGGGTCTACTTTTACTCTTCAACATGTAGAGAGTCAGATTTTCCAGCATCATTTATTAAACAGCTTATCTTTGTCCAGTGGACATATTTGGCCTTACAAATACATGAAGCATACAGAACATACTATGGATACATGTACCAACCTGAAGGAACACTGAGATACTCATACTACATTTAATAAATGGAATTCCAAAATATCATTTACCAAATAATTCTATCAATCTAACACTTCTCACTTGACAAAACTGTAAAGGCAGCCAAGAGTGCTTTCAGTTATGACAGAGAGTAATGGGTGTGGTTATTAATAGGATCTCTCTCCATGAGAGACACTTTGTTGATGAAATACCGATGACTCTTTAAACTGACAAGTTGTCCAGTGAATCATCAGGCACGATAAAGTTACATAGAACTAGACAGTGGTTTGAACATTAGCATGTGTAGAAAGAGAGAAATCCCACTCAGGTAGATGGATTGTACCAATGCCCCTTTCCTGGATCTGACATTGTACTGTTATTTTGGAAGATACTACAGCTGGAGCAGACTGAATCACCGGTATACAGGGCTCTTTCTATATTTTGTTCCTAGGGTGTGTGGACACGTGACTCTCTCAAAGCACACAATTGAAGCTACAGAATCAATCACATATCTCTATCCTAAGAAAGAATATTTGGAAAGTAAAATCAAAGCCACTACATGGGAAACTAAGTAGGAAGGCATAAATTAAATAAAATGTGCATAAGAGAGGGGGACTAAATAGTGTCTGGATATCATACTGAAATCTACATAGGAGAAAAAATGTATCAGATCCATCCATTTACAGAGAAAAGACACATAGTCTTAGGAGCATAGATGGATCCTGCCTATGTGATTGGGAGAAATATTGCACAGGAATATACAAGACAAATCCTCAAGAGTCCGCCAAGGACCCTATGCATTGTGTTCCCACTCCCTGGAAGAGGACTGGCCTCATGCCTGACAATGCTGGCCCAGAGGGAAAGGGAGAGGAACTGAGGAGTGGGCTGAGAGGGGAGCCAGTGAGGAAGGGAGGACAGGGTGCTGAGCCAAGAGGCCAGCAGCCAAGGACACCTGAAGGGGCTCCACTGCCCTCTGGAGCAGGGCACTGTTGCCTGCCCCACACAGAAGGTGCTTCCTTTGCAGGGCAAGGCAGGCAACCTCCTCCATCACCCTGCATCAGGGAGAGAGGATGGCTGCAGCCTGGACCTGCTGCTCAAAGGGGGAGTCTCTACTCTTGCACTGGTGGTCTCCAGGGTCTGGCTAGCTGCGGCTCTCAGTGTGTTCCCAAAGCCTGCCTTTGTCCAAAATGGGCCCATTCTCTCCCCTCCCCTTCCCTCATCTTCTTTCCCTTACCCTCTCCATGCCTGCCCATTCCCCCTTGGCTCCCCTTCCCCTCCTTTCCCTCCCTGCCTCCTCCCTTCCCTCCCCTTCCCCTCCTTTCCCTCCCTGCCTCCTCCCTTCCCTCCCCTTCCCCTCCTTTCCCTCCCTGCCTCCTCCCTTCCCTCCCCTTCCCCTCTCATTTCCTCCCTGCCACCCCCCTGCCTTGTCTTCTTTCCCTCACCCTCTCCATCCATGTGCCTTCCACTCTCCCTCCCCTTTCCTGCCCCCTCCTCCTTCCCTCTCCTCCCTTCCATCCCCTCCCTTTCCCTTGCCTCCTCTCCCCTGCTTTCCCTCTCCCTCCTCTCCCTCCCCTACCTTCCCACTATCTTCCCCTCCCCTCTCCTCTCCTCCCAACCTCTTCCCCTCCACAACCCTCTCCTCTCCCTTCCCTACCTTTCCCTCCCTCACCCACAGCCCAGGTAACAGGCACAAATGCACAGAGTCCTCCTTCAGTATCTCCACTGTGCTTTATTGTTTAGAGTTGGTCTGGGTCACATCCACCCGACTGCTCTTCTTACTTCCTGGATTGCTCTTGTACTCAGTCTTCCTCCTGAGGTTGTCTTCTCCACAGTTCCTGGATTTCTGCAGGGCAGGGCTCCGGGGAGCCTGGCCTCCTCCACTGTGACCTCAGAAGGTGGCTCCTGAAGCTCAGTCACAGGCCTCTCTTCATCTTCGCTGTCTTCTTCCCTCCTCTTCTTTGCCCTTTCATACAGCATCAACAGAGAGTGCTTCTGGTGTCTCTTGTGACTATGGTGTCTGCCATGACTGTGGTGTCCGCCATGACTATGATGTCTGCCATGACTATGGTGTCTGCCATGATGGTGTCTGCCATGACTATGGTGTCTGCCATGGCTGTGGTGTCTGCCATGCCTGTGATGACTGCGATGACTGTGGTGTCTGCTGTGAATCTGGGGTGTGTTGTAATTCTGGTCCCACATGGAAAACACTTGGTCAATGACCCTCTGCCTCTGGAAGGAAAGGAGAGGGGAGGCTGGGTTAGTCTGGCCCTAGAGGAGCCTGCTCTGCCCTGCCCTGCCCTGCCATGCCCTACCTGCCCTGCTCTACCCTGCCCTTCCCAGTGGGAGGAGTCTGGAGGAGGTAGAAGGGCTGGGTCCAGGGGAGCAGGAGGGCCAGGGGCTAGGGGTTAGGGCCCAGAGACCTGGGACCATGACACCAAGAGCAGGGCACAGCCAGAGTCTACTCACATGATCTCCTTCCTGGTACTCGGACTCCACCAAGCTCTCTGCCTCCTCCTCCGACTCAGAGGTGTTTTCGGGTTCATCCAGCCTGTTGATGGGCTTCTGGGGGTTTACCCAAGTAAGCACCCAGTTGCCCTGTATTTGGCGACCTTCCTCTGTCATGGCTAAGGCTTTGGACCTCTGAACCTTAGGGCAGCTTCCTATTTTTGTTTCTTCTATGTTCACCTCTGGCTCTGGAGGCAATGGAGGCTGACTCTACCTTTGTTCCATCACAGCCTCTGCACCAGCCAATAGGAGCCCTGGCCAGGCTGGGACATCACAAAGCTCTACACTGACACCCTTGGTGGGAGGGGCGCTGGGCAGTCCAGGACACTAACAGGTGCTCCAAACTCGGTTGCTGCCCTATCTCAGCTTCCTGTGTTGAAGTCTCAGGGCACATGTGACAGTCCCATGGCCACTCCCGTTAGTACCATATCATTCATTATCCTTCCCCATGGTCTGATGTTATCTGCCACCCAAAACCCCTCCAGGCCCTCGGTCAATGTGGGAATCACTGCCTTTTCCTCCTACAGCTGTGTCATGTGCACCTTGGAACCCATCCAGTCCTAGGCTACTGCCTGGAAACTTTAGACCTCACTGGATTGGATGAAGTGACCACACAGGAATCCCTCCATTTCCTGTTTCAGGTGTGTAATCACATCCCTCCCTCTGGCAAGGCTCCAGGTACAAGGAACAACTGCCCACAAGGACTGTCAAATGGAACCACCGCAAATACTTGCCAGTAAAACATAAAAGGCTGCTGAGATTTGTACAAAAAACACTGCGACAAATACATTTTTGTCATGGGTCTCCTGCTCTTGATTGCAGACAGGGTACCGTGTTCATGCCTGCAAAGGTGCTGTCTGGGAGTGCAACAGATCCCTCTGTGTAAGAGGGTGAGGAAGGAAGCAGGCGCTCCTGTGCCAAAAGTTCTTCCCCAGGCATATAGTCACAAGGCTGACACCCAAGACCAATGCCCACACCTAGGATGGACACTGTTTGGATTTGTAATGCAGGTCTTGTTCATGCAAAAGAGACAAGGGCATTCCGGTTGCAGAGGGAAACTCGGGAGTCTTTCTGCCAAGGCTACAATCAAAGGGAAGAAACAGCATCTACAACTAATAACTGGGTCAAATAGGGCCCCTCAGCCCAGTATGTTCTTTTGAGGAGTCTCCACAGTGATTTCCACAGTGGTTGCACCAGCCTACACTCCCGCCAACAGTGGAGAAGGGTTGCCTTTTCCCTACCTCCCCGCCTGCATTAGTTACTGATAGGTTTCTTGATGATGGCCATTCTTTCTGGGGTTGAGATGGAATCTCAGTGTTGCTTTAGTTTGTATCTCTTCAATGATCAGTGAGGTTGAACGTTTCTCTTCTCTTTACTTGCCATTTCTAAATCTTCTTCTGAGAAACGCCTGTTCATTTCAGATGCTCATTTTTCGATTGTGTCTTTGAACTTGGAAGGTCTGATCTTGTTCATTATTTTGTGTTCTAGATACGAGTCTTTGAAGAATAACTGCTAAGATGTTTTCCCACACTGAGTTGTCTCTTCACTCTGTTGGTGTTTGTTTTCGCTGTGCAAAAGCTCTGTAGTAAGATGAGATTCCAGGTGTTGATTCTTTGTAGTTTTTCCCATGCAATCATGGTTTTGTCCATGAAACCTTTGCCTGCACCTCTGTCTTCAAGTATTCTACCTGTTCTCCTCTAGAAAATTTAGTGTTTCTGTTTTAATATTTGGATCTTTGAACCGTTTTGATTTTAGTTAGTTCATGGTGAGAGACATGGGTGCTGGAGGCAAGGCAATTTGATTGTAGAAGCAAAACGCTTTAGCTCAGTCATTTAGAGAGTGAGACAAAGAACAGTGAGCTGCTTACCCTGTAGGACTTGGAGTAACTGAATTTGAAGACAGGGCATACAGTGAAAAACGGAGATGAACCAGGGTTTTAAAATATGTAAAGTTGTTTAAAAGTCAGAATGCAAATAATGGAATCCTCCATCTCATTCCCCGACGACACACTTTTACAACTTCTTTTGAAACTAGGCCCCCAGTACGTTCCCCGGGCTGACCTCAAACTCATGGACTGGATCCACCATCTCATTCCTGGGTTCTCAGGCAAGCATCACCTCGTCCAGCTTCACAGCTATTCTTAACCATCTCCCAGGTCCAGCACACGAGACATGATTCTCTAGTAACAGGCAAGGGAAGCTACAAGCCTGGAAAGCAGTGTAAAAAAGAGGGCTACCATGAGCCCTAGGCCTCAAAACAGTGGAAGGTAAGTGCGCGAGTGAATTAATTAGGAGCATTGGCCTCTTTTTGCCCAACCCAAGCCACAAAAGCCAACAGCCAGGCAATTCTTTTACCCCATTTTTACCTCTATACAAGAAATCAGGAAAAATCTTCTCCTAAGGAAAGAAATGAGTCCAGAGAAAGTATCTGTGAAACTAACAGCTGAGCACTCCTAACAAAAAAGCTGGCTCTCAACCCAGTATCTGAGTGATGACTGCCTGTAGAGGATCCCCGCATGCTCTGCTTAGCTGCTTTGTCAAAGATCAGTGGCTGTATTATGTGGGTCTTTTTTCCACTATATGGCGCTGTTCTATCTACCTATTCTGTTGCCAACACCACCATCTTCATTACCGTAGCTTTATGGTAACTCAGGCTGTGTCAGTCCTCCAGTTGTGTTCCAACTCAGTATTGTGCTGGTTATTCTGGCCTTTGCCTTTCCAAATAAATTTAGAATCGGCTTGTCAATATTCATAAACGACTCCTGGCATTGTTTAGTAGTACACTGAACCTACAGATCCATTTGGGAGGAATTAACATCATGATGTTATTTAGCTTTCCTATCCACGAGCATGAACCTTCTTTCCATTTATTTAGGTCTTTGATTTCTTTAATTGATTTTCTAGATTTCCTTATATACGTTTGGTGCATATTTTGTTAATTTGTACTCAAGTGTGTCAATTTTAGAAGTGTGTCATTAATTTCATACTTCACTTGTTCATTACTGTTATATAAGAAAGTGATTTGCTTTTTATTAATCTTATATCCTGCATTTTTAATAATCATTTATGAGTTCAACATGATATTTTTTGTTAATTCAGATTTTCTGCTTAGATTATCATCTGACTTGTGAAGAGAATTTTATTTCTTCCTTCTCAATGTGTATACCATTTTCTTTTTCTTGCCTTATTGCACTAGCTAGGACTTCTGGTACAATGTTAAAAAAGTAATGAAAGAGGGTCTCCATGGCTTATTGAAGAACTTAACAAGAGAGCTCCTAATTTTTCAATGTTGGATTAAGCCATAGGATTTTTGTAGATGTTCTTTATCAATTTGAAGAAGTGATTTTTTAAATCATAGTTGTATTTTGTCAAATGCATTTTCTCAATCTATTGACATGGTCATGTAATATTTCCTCTATGGGTTACAGATGTAATCAGTTAATCAATTAATTACAATATTTGCTTGAGCTTTCCACCCCACTTGGTTGTAGTGTACAATTTTTTTATATTATAACTTGCTATGATAATACTTTGTGGGGATTTTTTGCACATCCATTAAAATGTTTATGTGTCTGTAGTGTTCATATGTCTTTCTCTGGTTTTGGTATTTTAGAGGAATGCTTGCCTCAGAATGAGATGAGAAGCATTTCCTCTCTTCCTGCATTCTGGTAGAGACTATAAACAGTCTAGTTTCTTCCTTATGTCTTTGATAGAATTCACTAGTGAAGCCCTCTGATCCTGGTGCTTTCTGTTTTTTGAAGAATAATTATTCATTCAATTCTTTAATAGGTATAGAGCTGTTCAGATTGTATATTTCTAGGTGTGTGAGCTTTGAATATTTTGTATGGTGAGAAATTGATCCATGACATCTAGGTTATGAAATCTGTGGACACAAAGTTGCTCATAGCAGCCCCTCATTATCCATTTAAGTCCAAATTTAACGAAATCTAAAGTTCTGTCCTCTCCATTATTTCTGTTGTTAATTATTTTGCCTTTTATTCTTAGCCAGGCTAAGAATTTTATGACTCTCTTATGAATCTTTACAAAGAATTGGCCTTTTGTTTTAGTAATGTTCCTCTATTGATTTTGTGCTTTCAAATTTATGAATCTATACACTTCAAAACAGACCATCCAATGTGACCTGAGGACATGTTTTGCTTTGAGGCTCTGGAATTGAACCAAGGCCTTGTGCATGCTAGGCAAGTACTCTATCACTAAGCCATCCCCGCCTGCTCTGTTTAGTTGTTGTTGTTTTGTTTTGTTTCTTTTGTTTTTGGTGTGTGTGTGTGTGTGTGTGTGTGCTGGGGGAGCTGGGGGCTGCTTTTGTCTTTTGGCAGTGGATTGTGCTGAAGAACGTCACACTGAGGTCCATCTCCAGCCCTTTTCATTTCTTGTCTTGAGACTGGATCTAGGTTGCCCGAGCTGGGCCCAAACTTGTGATCTTCCTGCCTCAGCCTGCAATAACGGTGGGACTGCAGGTGTGCGCTATCATTCCCAGTCTAGTTACTTCTTTTATCCTGTCCTATTATTTTCTTTCAGCTTCTTGTTTTGGATTTAAATTCTCCTCTTTTTTTAGCTCCCTAAGAAGATTTTAGATTTCAATCTTCTTAATAATACGTACATTTTGCTATCTGGGCTTCTTTTACTGTGTGCCATATTTTGAGGTGTTGCATTTTCATTTCAATTTAGTTCAAATCATGTAAAATTTCTCTTTAGATTTTCTATTTGACTTAGGTGTTTGTAGCAAAGCACTGTTTAGTCTTGAAGTATTTTATGGCTTTCTAATACCTGTTATTGGTTTAATTCCATAGTGATCTCAGAACAGATATTATATGGCTTCTCTCTGTTTAAACTTAAATTTGTAGAAGTGTGCTTTATGGCCTAGAAGCAGTCTATCTTGGTGAATGCTGCATGTGAGCTCCAGGAGAATGAGGATTCTACTGTTTCTGGATGAAGTAGTAAAGAGATGTAAATTATATCCAGGCAACTGATGTTGCAATGAATTCAGCAGTGCCCCTGCTGACTGCGCTTGTTAGACCTGTGCACCTCCCATAGAGGGGTGTGTATAAGGGATTCTTGTCTTTATGCTTGACATTCTATTATCCTTCCCTCTTACACTTTGATGGATTCTTTTTGGGTTCATATACATTAATGATTTTTGTGGCATCTCTTTGAGAATTG